AGAGCTGTCTACCCACCTGTCGATACATCCATTCCCAACTGAATAGGAGAAAAGGAAGAATTGAGAAAAATCTAATTCCGTGGTAATGAACGGAGAATTTTTTTTTTTCATTCCATATTCTTTTGTTAAATTCCCTTTGTTTCTTTTTCTCAATTATTTCCCAGCGGTTATTTTTTACTCGATGCATATTGTTCTGCTCGTTGAAGTCTAAAACATTCTTCTCATTGTTCTGAAGTGTGAGGGGCATTTGAGGGGAAAATGTTTGCGGCAATGGTGCTCAGTAAATACTCGAGACAGAGTACTAAATCCAATGATAATCATCGTCGTAATTCGAGCAAAAAGTGTAATAATCGAACGAATCTTATCAACAATAATGTCATCAGTCTTATTGACAATAATCGTATCAACGACAGCCACGTGATCAATCGTAATCGGACGTTTGGAGCTACACCGGTGAGTGATTATCGAACGGTTTTACTCCCCCATTTGTCACTTCAACTGTTGAAGAATGATAAATTTTATTTGAAATTGCGGAGAATTGTCGCTAATTTTGCCATGTCTTCGGGAATCGTTTCGGGGAAAAATGTCTACATTCAGAGAAATGACGCAATCTGCATTTGAATCAAATAAAACTCATATGTTCATTTCAATGAAAATATTCCAAATGAATCGTATGTTAAAATTAAATAACGCTAATAAATTTCTTCGTTTCGCCGGTTAAGGAATGATTTCATTTCTATCATTTTTTTTAGATTTCAAAATCTATTTATTCGAAGTGGATGGCAATAAAAATAAGAATAAAGTTTGTTTAAATAAAAGCGTTATTACAAGTTGCACTGTTGGAAAAAAATGAAATTTCATGGACAGTTGACTACTAATTTTCAGGACAGTGACACCGAATGCGATTTAGGGGAGAAAAATCATGAAATTTCAAGTTTCACTGAAAGTTCCTGAATTTAAAACAGCATAAAGACACGAATTCCTCAATTTATTTGAATTTCCAATTTAATATTCAGTGTCGAATTACATTTAATTTTTAGTGAAATCTGAAATGTCATTTTTTTACCCCTAAATCGCATCCAGTGTCACTGTCCTGAAAATTCACGAATATATTTAAATATGGAATTCCACGAAATTCTGAGTTTTCAATGACCAAATTCCTTGAAATTTTAATGGTAATTAAACTTGATAAAAATTTCCAAAAAATGTACCGGAAAGTTCAGCTAAAAATTTTTAATAGTATGTTCAAATAGGCTCATTTCTTTGATTCAATTACAGCATTAGTCCAGGTGTACACTGTTATAAATTTTTGTCTGAATTTTCTGTGCCAAAGTCCGGAAATTTTTATCGTGTTGCAATTCCACTGAAATTTCAGGACATCTTGTCATTGAAAATTCAGAATTTCGTGGAAAAATCAAACAGAACTGTAAATGTCCGTTCCATTTTTCCCTGAAAATGAATAGAAAACCAGAAAATTCTAGTAAATATATTCTTAAATTTTCGGAACAGTGACACTGAATACGATTTAGGGGGAAACAAGCAGGGGTTCGAGCCTATTCGACAGAAGGCATGCGACCGTTCCTTTTCGCGTTATTATTAGTTTTTTTCTTCTTTTCATTTCTACCAATTCCATTGGTAGTAAGCTTCCGAATGCATCCGTTTCTCTTGCCTGTGACAGGCATATGCATGTGCCTGTCACATGCGTATAGACAGGTATAGATGTTTTGATGGATCTAAGTAGAGGACATCACGATGAATATTTTGAAAAAAAAATAAGTGGAATCGTTTGCGAAATTTCAAAGATATTCAACATAATAGATTTTCAGAAAAAGTTTAATATCTCCGAAACCACTGGTGCGATCGAGCCCGTCTTCAATACGAACCTTTGTTATCACAGAAGGAAGATTCTGTTCAAATTTCAAGTCGATATCTCAATTTTTACACACGTTAGCGCGCGTACAAGGATTTTAATGAAAAACCAGAAAAAGGGGAATATCTAGAACACTTTGTATGAACAGGTATAGATGTTTTTATTGGTCTAAGTAGAGGTCATCGAGACGAATATTTTGAAATAAAAAAATTTGAATCGATCCAATAATTTTAAAGATTTTCGTGAAAGACGATTTAAAAACGAATCGCTTTATTTCAAAAACTACTTGACCGATCGGGCTGAAATTGTGCACAGAGTTAGTCCTCATTAAGACCTATAATCTGACAAAATTTCCAATTTTTTTGAATTATTTTAGCCACTTAATTACTTAATTTTCTAAAAATTGACCATTGGGAAGGTGGCGATGGACATATTCACATACAGACATGGTTGCCAAACTTCGTATTTTTATGTTTTAAACCATTCTACATCACTTCCAATGAAAATTAGAGAATGTGAAAATCGGACGATTGCAAAGCTTCCATTCGGAAGCAAAAATCATGAGATTTTAGATTTCACTAAAAATTCAGTGTAATTTGACACTGAATATTCATATTAGATTGGAAATTGGAATAAATTAAGGAATTTTTGTCCTTATGCTGCTTAAAATTCTGGAATTTTACTGAATTTTTAGTGAAAATTTAAATTTCATGATTTTTTCCCCTCAAAATCGCATTTAGTTTCAGTGTCCTGAAAATTGGTAGTCAACTGTCCATGAAATTTCATTTATTTTTCCAACAGTGTAGATATTTTCCTTATACAACCGAAAATTTCCCATAAAATAGATTTCTCCTTATTTACATCACGCACATATCGCAAAATGATTCACGCAACGAGTAATCATCAAAAGACGACCAATGACCTTAGAATATAAGNGGAACCCCCCCCCCCCCGAAACTCAACATTGCGTGAATATCGCGTGATTATCTACGCAACGAGTAATTTGAAAAAATGTCAAGCGACCATCTTTATGATTCACAATTCCTGACAAAAAATGTCCCTTTGGAAGATCTCCATCCCCTGTGAACTGGAAAAATCTGTGAATACTTGATTCAAGAAGAAGAAAAAAAATGAAATTGCTGCCCCGAAAATGTCACAACGATTACATTGACGTAATGCGAGTTGTTCCCGGACTGGGGACGTTGTTATTCCATTCCTCATTCTCCGACCTTTCTCAACTCCGAACAAAGCAAAATATCCCCTAAAAAAAAAATGCCAAATGAAACTATTTAATTCACGCAAACAAGAATTCAAAGAGAAATTTATAAACAAGTTGGATAGTAAAAAAAACTGCTCAACAAATACAATTTTAACTTCATGCCTGGTTTATTGTAATATACAAAATGTATGCAAAAGCGAGACGAACCGAGACACACCGAGTTGAACCGAGGGTCTATCGCGATAGCCATGCAACTCTCCCCCTCCGTCCGCCCCCCGCCTCACCCCCCAGCCGCCCTTCTTCAACCCGTCGGTTGTGTCGCCTTTCACTTGGCCATTCCGCTATACGAGTTGGGGCCCAAGTCATGCTTGAGCAACGATACTCAACTTTTGTCCATTGCGAAAGCCCGAGGTACTTTAAAAACCCTCGAATGCTTCTCTTTGTCTTCATCCTCAACTTCCAATTAAATATTAATCACATCCATCATTTTTGTTATTATTTTGAGGTGACAATAATGGCAAACAACACGGCAGAGGTTGATGGCTTGTTATTATGTCGGAGAGGTAATGAGTTTTTTCATTCTATATGAACAGATGGTGCAGTGAATATTGATTAAAACGGGATACGTTCGTTTATCTCAACTCGTTTGGTTATATAATGATTATTGCAGTAATGAATGATTTTAGGGTAAAATGTCAAGAGATTTTTTTGTGTGGAATTCCGGGCGCTGTAGAGGTCTTCGAATAATTACACAATTAATAAAAATGTCATAATCGTGTTATGACATTAAATACGTGTGAAAGTCATTAAAACTTCGTGAAACTCCATGGATGACGATCATTATTGGTCTCTTTCCCTAACAAATTAAACGGTCCAAATAATGAGTACACTGTCCAAAATTTTCGTCTGAATTTTCCGTGCCAAATTCCTGAATTTTTTAGCATGTTCAAGTTCCACTGAAATTTTTGAAAATCTTGTTATTGAAAAAACAAATATTCCGTTGATTTTCTGTTCAAATTATCTAGAAATCAATAAAATACTTGATTTTTCAGTTTTTCAGTTTAGTTATTCCGTGAAAATTCAGGAAAATCCAGGGAAAAGTTGAAAATTCATGTCATTCTGTTTCTGAATATTCATGTTCCACTGAAAATTCAATCAAGTCGTGAAATTTCCATCGCACTTCTACTGAAAACTCATGAATTTCCGGGAATTCTACTTAAAACTTAAAATTTCATAACCAAATCCTTAAATCTGATTCAATGTCACTCTCATGAGGTTTATTATAATATCTTCCATGAAATTTCAAAAAATTTCCAACAGTGCACAGTTCTCTGAACTTTATTATTTTTGTTGTTAAATACAAAGCTATTTTTCGCAGAAAATTTCCTCAGCTCCATAAAAGATTTTTAGACATTTTCCCCTGAAACCATTCAGTTCTAAGATGATTGTAATAACAAAAATTTCAACTCTCCAGTCGATTTTTAAAGAAAAATAATTTTCTTGTGTCTTTCACCTCGAGAATCCCAATGAATTCGTGTCCAGAATTCCTCCACGCTGACGTATTTATTCAGAATAACATTGAAAAATGTCAACTCTACGGTATTTACATTCCTCGAGTGTGCCCACAGGACACTTGTCCCCAGGAGAAGAAGAAATAATAAAAACCCATAAAAACCAGAAAAAATAAAACCCGATTTTTGATAAGTGCCCAACACCTCGAACGTGACTACCGGGTGTCCATTTACGTTTCAAGTCAAGTCTCGAGCAACGAGTTTTCTGTTCTGTTCAATCTCCCGCTTTTCCCCCCTTGAAGAAACCGTTCCACTGGCGAGGCAACACACTCAAACTCCCGCGCCTTTCTTCGCGCGATCGCGGTTGCCTGTCAGTTGGCATCCGAGCGCCCATCGGATAACATCGGTACTAGTTACGCACCGCTTCGTGTTTGACCAGTTTTTTTTTCCTATTTTTTTAATTTATCATTCTCCAGTGCAGTGAGCGATCTCATGCTGTGCAATGTTACGGGCACCTACCGAAGGATTCCTCAAATAATGAGAAAAAAATGTATCGAACAATAGCAAGGGAATGCAGTTTGTTTTGATTTAGGATAATTCGTTGCTGTTAAAAAGCAACAAGAAGGCTTTTAAAACTTGTGATTCAGAGCATAAAATTGCTCATGCTAGCGGTCAAGATAATTACCTCAAAGCTACAGAGAGTCCCTAGTCCAAAGGTGTAATTCCGAAACAATAAAGAACTTTCATCGCCCTTAAAAAATCATCCGATTTAATCAATCGATCTTGCTACAATTGACCGAACAAATCATCAATCAACAAACAGAGACGCAGGAAAATAACTGCAATCCCACTCACAAAACCTAACTTTCACTGCTGTTCCACCCATCCCACTTCCCCCCATCCGAACGTTATATAAACCCATTTCGTGCACTAATTATCGGTATCTATGGCCGAAGTATTTGACCATAAAATGAACCTCTGGAATTTCATCCCAAGAATCTCGACGATTGTGTACCAAGTGCGCACCAGTGAAAATCCGAGAAAATCCTAGGGCAACTGATTTCGAAGACAAAAAATCGTTTCCAGGAAACTGAGTTTTTTCCTCTCTTATTGCTTCACAATTCATTATCTGATCGTCACGCAGTCGATTGGTTCATCAACTGGTTATTCCGGGAGTTGAGTTCTTCAGTCGTGTAGTGCCTTTGAAATTGCCGATATAGAATATAAAATTGGTGTTTCAAGGCAATTTCTTCGGACACCTAATCGGAAGCCTAATATGTATTGTGCAACCTGAGTTGAAGAAAAACAGGAAAAATGAGAAACGGTCAGGCCCAACAAACGGTAGTGATGGCACCGCCTCACCTCAACGGATCGGCGCAGTTCATTTCCGGCGGATATGTCGGTTACATGCCCCGTCAATCCTGGCCGTATCCATCGGCCCAACAGCAGCAACAACAACAACAACAACAGAGTCCAAGGCGCAACGGTGGCAGACCACTGTCTCACCCACCTCCACCGCCAACGGTGCAACAACGCAACAATGTCACCAATGGTAGCCCGCATCAGCTCAAGAGTAATTCACTTCCGCGATCGCGATTCGGCACGCAAACAAGAAGCACGACGCCCTCGGTGAGTCATCTGGGATGGGGGGAGAGATTTTGTCCCACACGTGCAATAACGTTGGTATTGCTAGCCTTCTATAGACATCACTTGGCTGTACACTCATCAGGCTTTATCGTCGATGATGAGGATGATCTATGGCGAATATCTCACAAATATTTGCGATAATGATTGATGGTTATCGGAGAGCGATGACGTCGGATGTTCAATTATTTTTTTGTAGATTTCTTTTACTCGATTCCGAGGTGAATACTGAGCGGTTTAACGGGATACTCTCAAGACGCGGTGATTATTTCAATGCGTAGATGGCCAGGGAAAAACGGCTTGAGTTAGGTGGAGAGAGGATGAAGGTGGGTGGAAATGAGGGATTTAGGGATGACGGAGTTTTAGAGCGATTTGTGGAGATGTACACTGTTAGAAAATTACTCTTGAAATTTCAAGTGAAAAAGCTTGAAATTTTTAGCAACGATAAAGTTACATGAAATTTCTGCAGAATTCTTCATTGACGAATCAGTTTATTTTTTGAATATTCAAGTAATTCTCGATTTTCAGCTCCGTACGGCACTGAAAAATCTTGAAAATTTTGAAAATTCAGGCAATAACTTCTCTGAATTTTTAATCTATTGAAAATTGAGTTGTATGTGATGTTCAATTTTCACGATAAGTTTGGAAATTCAAGCTTTCATTGAAAAATCAATGATTGAAAAACCCTACTTTCTCGAATTTTCAAGGTGAATGAGAAATTTAGTGAACGTTTCCATTGGAAATTGAAATTGAAACACAACATTGAAAATTCAGATGACGCTGTGACTGAAATTTCATGAAATTTCTAACAATGCTTGGTGAATTAAGAGATCGTACACTGTTGAAAATTTTTTTCAGAAATTTCCGGTACTCTTTTTGGAAACTTTTAACGAATTTTATTACCATTGAAATTTCAAGGAATTTCATCATTGAAAATTCAGAATTTCGTGGAAAAATCAAAGAGAACTAAGTTTCAGTTCCATTGTTCCCTGAAAATAAATAGAAAACCAGAAAATTCCGGTAAAAATATTCTGGAATTTTCAGGACAGTGACACTGAAGGCAATTTAGAGGGAAAAAAATGAAATTTCAGATTTCACTGAAAATTCTATGGAATTTGGCACTGAATATCCATATTAGATTGGAAATTCAAATAAATTAACCCTTGTCGCGCTTTTCTAGCATGTCACTCGCTCTCTACAGTGGTGACCTATAGGTTGCGTATGGTTTGGCAGGGATTCCCTCACGATGCGACCACTTAAGGGTTAATTCTCGTCTTTATGCTGCTTAAAATTCTGGAATTTTATTGGATTTTCAGTAAAACCTGCAATTTTATGATTTTTTCTCCTAAATCGCATTTAGTGTCAATGAGATTTCATTGACAGGACATTTCATGATTTGTAGGGATTATTAAAAGGTTGATGAATTTTATTATCTCACAGTCGTCTGCCATTGATAACCTGTTGATATTCCGTCGTTTATTGAAGATAAAGGTCTTATCTTTATTGGAATGAAGGGAGATGAACAATTTTAGTAAGTTGATAATTTGGAAGTTTTTCAACTTCTAGACTCCTCTGAACAATTTAATTTTCAAATGAAAACGTTCAGAAGCAAGAAATAATGACTATATGCTAGATCCATTGTAGTGAAATTGGCTTGTGAAATCTTTAATACGCCATAATCATAGATCGGCATCAATCATCAATTTAGTAATGTTATGAGAAGTTGCACCTTACAATAGTTAAGATTTACTTATCTTTATTGAAATTTGAAAAATAACATAACAATTGATAATTTGATTTCTCAATTATTGGTTGATAAAGTAATTCGGAATTTGAATATTTAAATTGGTGGCTATTTTAATAATCAAAAAATTGGTGAGTAATATTAACAATTGACTCATCCAAAATTTAACTATAATTTAACATTATGATTATGCTGATGTCTGGTCATAACAAAATGATAGGGCTTAGAAAAATTTGATTTCATTGGAGAATCGATTTTTAGCTGTTGAGAAATCGGTACCAAAGTTCTTTACGGTTTCAGGTATTTCTTCCGAAAACAGTGACTAAGACAACAATCTGTAATTTACGCAGGATGTGCATAATGTTAGTTTGTTTATATACGACCCAGAATTTTAAACCACCAAGAATCGAAGTTATTTATTAAATGTATACAAAATAACTTCGATTGTTGGCGGTTTAAAATTCTGGATTCGGGTTGTTTCGAGTGTTATTTTGAAAAGAAAATCTACTTAAATTGAAGGGAAAATATCATACATACTCTTACACTGACAAAAAATAGTATATTATGTCATCAGGCTATAAAAGTATTATCTGGCGAATGTGGCTTTATAATACTTTTATCGCCGTGTGTCATACGATATTTTATGTCATTGGGCCCGAAAACCGCGATCTAACCGAGCAAAGCGAGATTAGAATCGCGGTTTATCGGGCCTAATGCCATAAATAGTTTTACCAAGAAAATTTGAATTAAACCAACTATTATTCGTTTATTAATTTTCACATGATCGAGATTTTATAGTGAGTAATAGTTATCTCTTCTTAAGACACATTCGATTGGGAGAAATAATTCTTCTCGAGAATTTAATTTTTTTTTATAGATCGCAACAATCAGAATATTTGATTTCCTTCGAGCTAACATTTTGTTGTCTCCAGAAATTCTTTGGCTTACCCAAAAATTAAAATGATTCTTATGACTGAATACGTTATTATATCAATCAACATGATCAGATGTTGTTTTGCAAGTAAATTATAATTGAGCTCAGCATTTCGCCTGTCGAATTAAAATGAATATTTTTACGCGGAAAACCTTTGAGATTCACTTTTAGAAAAAAAAAGAAATTTCATGGACGTATGACTACTAATTTTCAAGACAGTGACACTGAATGCAATTTAATGGAAAAACGATCATGAAATTTCAGGTCTCACTGAAAAATCAATAAAATTCCAGGATTTCAAGGAGCATAAAGATGAGAATTTCTTAATTCATTTGAATTTTCAATCTAATATGAATATTCAGTGCCAAACTACATTGAATTTTCAGAGAAATCCAAAATTTCATAATTTTTCCCCCCTAAATCGTATTCAGTGTCAATACCCTGAAAATTCAAAAATATATTCTCCGGAATTTTTTGGTTTTCTATTCATTTTCAGGAAACAATGGAACTGAAATTGACAATTCTCTTTGATTTTTCCCCGAAAGTCAAAGAATTTTCAATGACGAAATTCCTTGAAATTTCAGTGGTAATTAAATTTGATAAAAATTTCCAAAAAGTGTACCGGAAATTTCAGACAAAATTTTTTAACAGTGTTGTAGTGAGATGTCGTTGAGTTGAAAGAAGCTTATATTTACTCACCACAAAAAAATCACATCAATTTACAATAACAGAATCAGAGATTACGGCAGTTCTACGCAAATTTGGATATCACAAATTTCAGTCAATGTGACATACGGAGCTCAATTTAAAGTTTGGCTTCATTCGAGGAAACAACATTCAGATTCATTTATCAATATAATTATCTCATAGAAACGAATTTTGGATCAATTCATGAAAGTAGAAAATTTATTAACAGGAGATTATATTAGATTTAACAAAGTAGAACTTTCTCATTCTTGTGGTGAATACATGTGACTTGACTCTGACTAGTGTTTCATTTGATCCATGTAAATGTACCTCCACAACAAATCATTGATATTCACCGTAAGATTTTATTTATTTTAAAGTAGTTCAACTACACAATGCTTCAAGAAAAAAACATCTCAATAAAATTAATTTTTTCTATCAGTCTAGGATCATGGTAAATTTCCACTTGAAATTCCGAATTATTGTCATTATATTTTTCGTCACATCATGTGTAAAGTCACATTTTACGCCCACCCTGTGTGTGCAGAACCCCACTTTCCACGCTGTACACCTCCCACAAGCCAAAAAACACTGCTCCGCACTTACATCGGAATATACATAATTCACAAATGAAATTCCTTGAGTTGGCTCAGCGCCTCAGTAAATTTCCACAACATATCTCGCAATCAATATTTATTCTCATCTCAATGTTGGTAAACTTATGGGTGTGAAATCAAGAGATATTGGAGAAGAAGAATAAGCACGTTTGTTCATTTCTCATACGTGCGACGTTTAACTACATATTTTGACTTTGTCAAGCTCTTGGATATCATCATACATAGTTGGAATATTCTCTAACATAATCATGTAGAACGGTACTACTTGCAAATAGACAAGGATACGAAAATCAACAAATATGTGAAGAAAAAACCAATAGCACGCAGCAACCCTGACTGGTATACATACAACTTCGGTGACAACAACCCTCATAGGGGAAGGTGGGGCAATATGGAGATCTGGGGTAAAATAGACACTCAAAAAATTTGCGAAAAAAAAATGTTTTCAAAATTCAAATTTCTGAAAATTTTCTCATTGGGCAATATGGACATCTGATAAATCCGTCTAGGATGGACTAAAATGGACGCTCAAAAAATGTTCAAAAAATTTGCAATATTCGAATTAAAAAAAATTGCTTCTTGGCAAAGTCCACAACCGAAAAATTATTCAAGAATGGGATAAAATGTCCACCCGAAAAAGTTGGTCCTATTCAACTTTTAATCAAGAAAACTTTCAACAGATTTTCGAATAGAATTGTATCGGTATCTTTTTATAGAGAGAAATTAGAATTGGAAGAGATATAAACTTCAATTTAGTAAATTTTGCATTGAAGTTTGAAATATACAGTAGCTTTGGAATTCCTACTTTACTATCGAAATATCTTTGAAATTATTTTTTTTTTCAATGAACAATTGCACGCCCAATACAACTAACCTTTTGTTCATTTGCGAAATTTATAAGATGGCTACTTTTCAACTTACAATGAAAATCACTATAAAACAATGGGAGAAGGGGAGGATAAATGAGCAAAGAAAAATTTGCTCATTTATTTTACCACCCTCC